AAAAAAAAATTTTTTTTTAAATTTTTTTTTTTTTTTTAAATTTTTTAAAAAAAAAAATTTTTTTTTTTTTTTTTTTTTTTTTTTTCTTTTTTTTTTTTTAAAAAAAAAAAAAAAAAAAAAATTGATAACACCGTTAGTAGAAAGCAATATTCATCTTTCTATTTTCTTCCCATCATGAATATGATGATGAAGAAGAAGAAGAATTTCAAATGCAAAAAAAAACTAATAATAATAATAATAATAACAGCAACGGATCTTTCAATCGAAAACATCATTTTCCACATCAGTATTAATAATAATTTTTTTTTTGCTATTTTGATCGGTGTGTGTGTATGTGTGTGTCTGGTAAATTTGTCCTGACAACCACAATGTGATGAGTGAAGAAAATTCTTCACTTCATTCCAATTTCTAAAGCATCCCTTTTTCTTCAACACAAGCAGAGAGAGAGAGAGAGAGAGAGAGAGAGAAAAATCATCAATTTAATATTCTCGTATTTGGAATTTTACTTCTTTTTTTCTCTCTCTCTAATATTCCATTAAGATAAAATTCTTTTGTTATTTTGTTTATCTTTTTTTCTTTTTCTCCATTCAATATTTATATTTTGGGTATGAATTTGAATTTTTGAATGTTCTGTAAATGTTCTGGGAAAGTTTTTTTTTCACTTTTTAGAGAATTTTTTTTTATATATTTCCAATTTTGAAAATGATCATCATCATCATCACTATTAAATGTATGGAAAAAAGTATAAAACCCCTGCTCAAATGTGTAAACATACCTTATAAAATTCACGAAATAATTCAATTTCATGATGAAACCATTCTGAACCTAAATATTGTAGTGAATTTTCAATAAATAAATCCGATGATGATGATGATGGATCGATAATGGTTAAATTTTTTAAATTAGAATCAAACAAATGATGGCTTTCATGATGAAGATTATGATGATGTTTTTGTTGTTGTTGTTGTTGTTGATCAAATGGATTTTCCATAATAGGCTGTATACTTTCATATTGAAATCGACCTTTAATGCAAAAGAAAATTCAAAAAAAAAATCAATCATTCAATGTCCAACATTATCATTTCATTTCTCAACTTACTTTCTAATTCGATACTATTTTTCCATGCTAAACTATTTGCCATTAATTCAACATTAGTTTTAATATCAAAATTAATTTTTAATTGTTTTTTATCGTGATTCAATGGAGAATTCGATCCAAAATCATTGTCAATGTTGGATGATGTTTGTTGTTGCGATTGTTCTTGCTGCGGTTGTTTATGATCGTTGATTATATTAATCAATTTTAATGTAATCAATATGTTTGTATTCATTGTTTCACTATATAATAATTGATGTAGATAACGTTTTGACCATAATATAATGGTTGGAATGTTTAGCTTAATTTGTATGATATCTGATTCTGTTGCTGATGTTGTTGTTGTTGTTTTATTTAATGATTTTTCCTTATCATTATCAACAGCGAAACTTGATTTTATTGATGAAATATTCCAATAACCTAATGATAATGTTTGACCATTATAGCTATCAAATTCCATTCGTAATTGATGATTATTTACATAATTTTCATCATCATCATCATCATTATTATCAAATGTTTCATAAACATTCAAATGTCCTAATGTTAATCGTTTATTATGATTTAATGATGTTGTTGTTGATGATGATGATAGATTTAGATCGATTGAATATTTTGTATAAATAATCGATGATTGATTTATTATTGATGATAATTGTAATTTAGGTAATAAAATTGATTTTTTTATAATCATATTTATAATATCATTACCAATTTTTTGTACATAATCACATTTAACATTCAGTATTTCACTTAAACAAAAATCAAAACTTAATGAATTATAATTTTGTCTGATTTCATATTCATTAAGATAATTTTTAGATTTTTTATTTGATTTTCGACGAAAATATTCAATTATTAAATGATGTACACAATTATTGCTTGAATTTCTAATTAAATTGATGATCGGGGGAAGGGGAAAAAATCAACAAAAAGGTAAAATCATCAATATCATCATTCAATCATGTTTACCTGGTAAACTTACCTTAAATTTTGTGCAAGAATTTCATCCAATTGATTAAAATTATATTTTGGCCAACGTTTTTCATCATCATTATCCAAATCATTATAATTTTCATTAAAACGTTTTGTTTGTTGTTCAATAAATATTCTATCAACATTATCAATTAATAATTGTACAATTTCTTGTCTAATTTGACATGATCGAGTTTGATAAAACATATTAGCCAAATATGTTTGCACTATTGACCTGTTGATTGAATTACGATATGCATGTATTGTTGCTATGGTTATAAATGTCATCGTTGTTGTTGTTGACGCTGATGTTGATGATGGTGATAATAATAACGTATGATTCATTAATTTTCTATGGACGGATTCAATCGCTGTATAATTATTTAGATTTCCCAACATTTTTATCAAATCAACCAAATAAATCAATTCAACATTACTATTCAATGTTTGATCATTCCAAACGATAAGTAAATCATCAATACGTTTTAAAATAAAATTACAAAGTATTTCATTTAATTTTATTAATTGTTCATTTTGTGCCAATAATGTTAATGATTGTAAAAGTGTTGTTGATATGTATGATGATCCATTAACAATATTCATTTGTTGACGACGATATAATACATGTAGAAGATTTTCAATAAACCAACGTGATGATCGTTGTGTATATGATAATAATCGTGTTACAAATTCATCAATTTTTTGTTGATGATGATGATCGGTTATTATTGTTAAATTTGAATTAACATATATATTTTCTAATGCATAAAGTAAATCACGTTGTGCTGTTTTTGATGAACATTTTAATAATAGCATAATAAATGCCTGGCAATTTTCATTTGAAATAATTTGTATTAAATTTACACCACATACTAATTGTATATTATGTGCTGTACCAATTCTACGTATATCACCAATAATTGAATTATATGAATGTACAGTATGATTTAATTGTTGTTCCAATGTAATTAATGTTAGTAATGAATCATGTTCTGTTACACACACCGACACAAAAAAAATGTTTGATTAGTTAGTTAGTCAGTTTTTTCATTATCAAATTGCAAAATTATCAATGTTTTTGATTTGAAAAATGAAAAACATAAAATGTCTTACCTTGACTATTCATTTTGCTTGTAGCTGCTTCATATAATGTTGTATAATAACGATATTCATTTTTACCTAAACGGCTACGTATTTTACTCAATAATTTTGTATATTTTTCCATTAAAATTGATTCACCTGAATTAGTTTAATCAATCAAAATTATTAACTGAATTTCATGCGAAAAATTGTGAAATATTTAAAAAAAACATACGTTTATTTTGTTGGGCAACAAGTGTTTCATCTTTTGTATTTTCCAAAAAATGTTCATTCAATAATTTAACACTATCATCATGTTTACCAATATTATGTAATGGTATTATTTTTAGATTATAATATAAATGGCCATCTAAATAAGGCCAAAATTCATTTTGTTGATTAAATTTTATTTGATAATTTCCGGCTATAAATTATAAACAAAAAAGCGAAAAAAAAACAACAGAAAAGCCATTAGGGAATCAAATCAATTATGAACACATTACATACATGAATCGATAATATGTTGTCGATCAAAATGGATTGTTTGATTTGAATTGATCGTTGTTATTGGTGATTGATTTGTATCATCATTATCGTTGTTGTTGTTGTCGGTAAAATTTTCGATATGTTTTTCTAATTTGTTCAAAATTCGGTTGTTGTTCGATATGTTTGATATTTTCAATGTTTGAACCGGTTGACTACCAAACCAATTGGTTTCCATTGTTTGATTATTGTTTACATTGATATTATTCTGTAATAAACTAAGCAAATATTTTTTCCAATTTTTTATATTTAAATTTGTATCTTGTTTAAGAAAACGAATTTCCGGTATTGTACCATTGGATAATTGTATAAACCAAAATGGTAATGATATTTTTGAAAATGGATTAACACAATCAATACAACCATGTTCCATATTAACATTAATATCATCATCATTATCATTATTAATATTGGAAATTATTGGTGAATTTTTTATAAATTTATAATGAAAATATTTACTATTCTTATCAGTATTATCTTGCCAATATTTATTATTATTATTCTGATTATAATCAGAATTATAATAACATTTATGATTGGTTTTAATTTCATTTTTCATTGATATTATCATATCATCATCAAATGTATTACGTATTGTTTTTGTTGTTTTTATTAAATTATTTTGTTCAATATTATCATCATCACCATAATAATAATCATTACCGTTACCGTTATCATTGTTGTTATCCGGTAAAAGTAAATGACGAAAATCTTTCCATAAATGTTTTAAATAATGATAAACACTGCGTTTTGATCGTAAATTCGGTAAACGATAATGTTGATTTTTAATTGAAGAAATCCAATCATCGTCATTATCATCATCTACATTGGCAGCATTGTTATCATCCACATCTTCTTCATCATTATCATTATTATTGAATGATGATGAAAATGAATCAAAAGAATGTGGTCCTAAATGAAAATCACTTATAATTGCAAGAAATTTTTGTCCATTCAGATGATTAATCAATGGTGGTTGTTGTCGTTGTTGTTGCTGCTGTTTGCTATGATCATTATTCCATTGTAAACGATTTAAACATTTCATAACAATTGTTGAACGAATTTGTTGATTTTGTTGTTTTGGATCAATGTTTAACGATGATGATGATGATAATTTCCATTCAATAATTGTTTTGATTGAATATTTTCTTATCGTTCCATACTGCAAAAATTAGAAAAAAAAATCAAGAAAATCAAATTAAAAGTCGTGGGGGGGAAAAAAATACATTTTCTTAAGTCAATTTAAACAACATCGTCATCGACAACGACATTATCATTAATTAGGATAATTTGTAAGTATCCTGTAGTATGGATATTTTACCATCGCTACTACCACCATCAACAACAACAACAACAAAAATCTTTGAAGAAAGCAAAAGAAAGATAAAAACATTCCAAACAACAATAGGGAGAGAGAGAGAGAAGAATTTCGTGCCAAGAATTCCGATGATGATAATGATAATAACCTTAACTTCGAATAATAATGATGATGTTATTTCATTTTCTTTTTCTTTTCTTTTGTTTTTTATTGTTTTTCATTTTATAGACAACAAAAGTTGATTCGTTAAAGTAAATTTTTTTTTCTAGGTTTTTTTGTTTTGTTGTTGTTTTTGTTGTTGTGATGCGAAAATGAAACTGAATTCAGAAAGGGGGGTAAAATACATTTTTTTTCGAATGAATTTTCTACTTTCATTCATTCTAATTATAACCGTTAGCGGGTAATTTGTTTTTTTTTCCAGGGAAATTTCCGAAATAAAAAAAGTTTTTTTTTTCCATTTTTTTTCGGTAACCATAGTCCACCTCTCTTCGGATAGTGATGAGTTTTCATTTTCCATTTTTTTTCACCGTTGAAATCTAATCTCCCCCTCTCTTTTTCTTTCTCTATTCGGTTATTATTGCTTTCAACGGTTCATTTTAAATTCAAAACTCGCAGCGAAAATGTTCCCGAAAAAAAAGAAGGGAATTTTCTTTTTTTCTTAGCAGAAAGAATGAGAAAAACAACAACAACAACAACAAACTTTTTTCAAAACATCGTGACAAACAAACAAAAGCTTCGACACTTGAATCGATCGATTCTGATTTCATATCTTACATTCTTCTCGGGCCTGGTCACTGGAACATCATCAAAAACAAACAAACAAACAAACAAAAGGAAGAAAGAAAACTTTGTTCACAACAAACAATAACAGCAAGCTATAGTTGGTGTTTATCATTATGACAAGTTTATTTTCATCATCATCATCTATTTGTAACAACAACAACAATTTTCCAAACAAAACATTTGGAACAAACAAAAAGCAAAAAAATCTAGCGGAAAATTGAGAATTTTTTTTGAAATCTTCTTGCTCCAATGTTGGACAACAACACAGCAACAAAGATCAATGTTATGATTATCTCAACAACAATAAAATGACTTTTTACTGCGTGTGTTTTTCCCTGGTTGAAACAGATATTGATTGAATTTCGGAACAAAGATCAAGTAAACCGCACACAGGACAATGGAAACAAAAATGTCAACTTTTTTTTTAAATGTGAATCTTCTCCCGGCAAAGTTTGGTCAAAAAGCAATGAAAAAAATTATTGATTTGTCTATGGGTTATTCCTAAATACATACATACACAGATCATTAGTGATAATGATTTACACGATTTTAAACACACACACATTGATTATGTTAACAAACAAACATCATCATCATCGTTGTTGATGATAATAGAATGGGATAGAGAAAAAAACCTCAATCATTTGATTCATCGTGTGATTGATTTATTCATCATTCATTCATTGCTTTGAATATTAGGTAAAATAATATATTCATGTTGCTGTTTCATTTCAATCGATCATTATAACAGCAACAACAAACAACAAACAAACAGCATTTTCTTTCGACAAGAATTTGTCATCAATTTTACGGATTACATTGACCAATCGATCGATCGATCGATTGATGATTGATTGATTTTTTTTGTCATTGCTGTTGGTGGTGGTGTTATTGGACAAAAAATTTGTTTGACAACGTTTGTCGTTAACATTATTCATTTTTTAGATTTCCTTTCTGTTTGGTTTCCTTAATAATTCTCTCTCTCTCACCAATCTTTAATCATAAAATTTACATTTCTTCATTTTTTGTTTTCTATTGAATTTGATTCCTGCAGAAGAAGAAAAAATGAAATGAAATTCCTTATTGCTTTTGTTGTTGTTGTTTGTCGTTGACGGTGTGTGGTGGCTGTGTGGATATGAATGAGAAAAAAAAATTTCCCGGAAATTCAATCTCTTCAAACATTCATTTATCAATTATTATTTCTCTGCTGAATGAATAAAGATGGAGTGAAAAACACCCCAAAAAATCCAAAGATATTTTTGTCAAGCAGGAAATTTCCCAGAAAAAATGATGATCACTGAGAATTCATTGAATGAATTTTCATGGCAAAAAAAAAATAAACAAAAAAAAATTCATTCGCAATTAATATTCGTTGCTCGAATGAAGAGAAAGAAAAAAATCAAAATTCAAGTAAGCAAACAAAATGTCAAAAAATGTGAAAATGAAACTGGAAATAAAATCTGACATCTTTGAAAATGTTTTTGGTTGTGGATATGATATATACACACAAACACACACACATTGAATGTGTCATAACAAACTGAATGAAATGAAATTTTTTTTTCCTCTAAATGTGACACTTTTTTTTCAGTTTTTTTTTGAGTAAAAATATCATTGCCTGATATCATTTGCCGTCGTCATCATAATAATCATAATAATGATGGTCCATACACACAGGTCTGACTTTGGTTTGTCAAAAACGAATGTCAAAATAGACTCACTCACAGATACTTATTCTTCTTCTTTTATTTGGTCCATTCTTGACATTTTATTTGCAGTAGCAATATTTCATATTTTCTCATCATCGTTGTTGTTGTTGTTGTTGTTATATGATATTCATCTGCAATTACTTTTTTTCGCTGTTGTTGTTGTTGTTGATTTTTCCTCTATTTGCACCCAAACAACAACAACAACAAATGAGAAAAAACAATTATAATTTTTGTGTCTTGTCTCCCCACAATATCATCATTATCATCGTTATATAACAAACACAGCAAACAGACAACAGAAAAGTAAAAAATACTAAACATTTGTTGTTGTGTAACTATAGTCATTATCCTCAATTCAATATGAAGAAAAAAGTTCAATTTTCATAAAAGTTGAATAACAGGTAAACAACAACAACAACAATATTTACCGAATTCTGGAAATATGTGAGAACAAACTATTTAATGATTACTGGAAATACACACACTATTGAAATAATAATGATGATAATGATGGAACCAAGAACCAAAGAAAGAAAAAAAGAAAAAAATGAATCAACAAACATACATATCCAGGTTTTACTATACTCATTATTTTTAATGTTTTTTTTTTTGTTCTTCATTCAATGTCCGGTATTATGTTTCATTTTTTTTTAGTTGTATCATCATCATCATCATTTTTTCCGTAAACTTTCCGAATAAAAATCAATGAAATAAAAAAAAGTTTCATTTCTTTTATTCGATTATTATTTACCCAAAAAATATTTTAATGTTTTTGCAAGCAAAAAAAAAAAAAAAAAAAAAAAAAAAAAATCCAAATTTTCATTTATTCTCAAAAAATTTTTATCATCATTTTTAGTTAATGCTGTTGGATACAATGTAATCTGAATGGATAATAGAAAAAAGACACTTTTTTCCCTCGAAAAAAAGTACTGCCTAAATGATTTTCTGTCATTGATGATNTTTTTCGATTTTTTTTTCCCAAAAAAATTTTTTAATTTTTTTGAAAAAAAAAAAAAAAAAAAAAAAACACAAGAAAATCCAAATTTTCATTTATTCTCAAAGAATTTTTATCATCATTTTTAGTTAATGCTGTTGGATACAATGTAATCTGAATGAATAATAGAAAAAAGACACTTTTTTCCTTTGGAAAAAAAGTACTGCCCAAATGATTTTCTGTCATTGATGATCATCATCATTATTTCATAAATATAGAAATCATTTTTATTTAATTATGAATAATAATTATTATTATTGAGGAAGCCTGCCTTTGTGCTGGTGTGATGGATGGATGGAAAATGTAATATCATCATCATCATTATTTTCACGAATCCAGCAGAAAAAAAACTTTCTTTCGTTTTCATTCATTACAACGAAACTTTCACACAAACTTTCATTATTACTTTCGTTATTCATTAACCAATTAGCCCATTAGCAATATGATTTCGATTTTTTTCTTCTTCTGTTTCTTCTGAATTACGCGAAAAAAAAATAATAATTAATATGGAAACTGAAAATGGCTGCTGCTGCTGCTGTAAGGAGAATTCCATCAAGCCATTCATTCCCGAAAAATATTGATATTTGTCACAGTTCTGACAGTGAAAGAAATGTTTGACAAACACTGAATTCCCAATCGATTTTAGCTTCTAATCATCATCATCATCATTATTTGATTATTATTTGATTGATTTTTTAATAATGAATTACGATCAATATTACAATGCAAAATCAATGTCAATGTTTGTAAACATCGCTGTTAATCGATTGATAATCATTATTGTCAGAAATTTGATTTATAGAACCCAAAAATTACAAATAAAATGAAAAAAAAACTTTAAAGTTTTACAAGTTTTTTCCATCTATTCTATTAAGTTTGTAATTTATTCATTTTGTAATTTTAAATAAAAACGATAATGACAACAGCCGTAGCTCATATTGTAAATTGTTCCTGGAACACACTTTTTTTTTAACCCCTTCGCAAAAAAAAACAATAAAGCTTCTCTCTCTCTCTCTCTTTCGTCTGCACTGCACTGCACACAAACAACTTCCATTCTTTCCATTCTTGATCTATGAATTTATGCACGAAAACCAGCGAATAAAAATATCCGTGTTGTTGTTGTTGTTGTTTTCTGGGGTGATCGTCCGATCATCACATCAGTTTTTTTTATTATTCGGGAATAAAAAACGGGAAACAAAAATTGTTGTTATATGCATGGTCTGTGTCTAATGGTCCATATCGTTGTGGTGGTGGTAGATTCATTCAATTTGATTTCTCTTATACATTCTATGTATAGGTTTGTTTGTTTGTTTATTTATCAAAATGGTGCTTACCTCACAGGCAAAGAAACGTTGATTATCATCATCATTATCATCCAAATGGTCTTTGTTAAGGTCATTGATGGTTTCTGGCTTTGAATGATGATTTTTGTTGATATTTATCGATGCAGATGTAGCGAATGGCAATGGCGATGATAAAACTTTTTTCTCATCAATTTGATTCATCAATCCAGATGAAATGTTTGTTTTTTGTTGTTGTTGTTGATCATTCATTTTGATTGTTGATGGCAATGACGATGACGACGATAAAATTGGCTCATCATCTTTGTCGATGAAATTTGCTTTTTTCGTTACATTTTCATTGTTGTTGTCATCAGTTTTCAATTTATCCATCATATTAGCATCTGTCAACGACAACATTTTTGTCACAGATGTTGTCATCATCGTTGTCGTTGTTGTCGCTGTTGTTGTCGTCATATTGATAATGGCTGATTGATCATTCACATCATCCACATCATTCTTTTTATTGAATTTATTCTTCTGTACAGAATTCAATGATGATGATGATGGTAATATTGTTTGATTGAATATTTTAACATTCATACATTTCATAGACAGCCGATCACAACTTTTTCTCGTTGTTGTTGATGATGAAATATTGTGATTATGATTGGTTGAATTATCAATTTCGGTCATCATCGTCATATTTGAATTTGTTTGGTTGTTTGATGTTTGGTTGTTCGTTGTTTGGTTGTTTGCTGTAATATTTTCAATCAATTTTTCATTAAATAATAAGGCTTTTGGTTTCAATTTAATGTTTGAAAAATTTTTCGTTTCATTTGAAATCAAATTCAAATTATCGGTTGAATTGGACCATAACATCATTTCTGTTGTTGTTGTTTGAATGGTCGACGATAAAACCAAACAATTTAATGGACAAATTGACAACAAAATGATAATAAATTTCATGATAATTATCGTTTGTAATTTATTCATTTTGTAATCATTATTATTAAAATTATTTAGTGGCCATCTATGTTTTTTTGTTTGTATTTTATGGCTGTTATTGTTATTTCTTTGGTTATTATCGTACATCATTATGGAATCAAAATTTCCTTTGCTAAATTGATTTTTAAATCGTTTCAGTTGACAATGATGATGATGATGATGATATTGCGAAATGATATTCATTCGATCATCACTATCATCATCGTTCAATGGTGACATGATTTTCATCTTTTCACTTTTTATTCTCAAACAATTTTACAATCAAGGTAGTTGCGTTGTTGATTGAAACGAAGCAAACAAAAACATTTTAAAAATTTCTTTGAGTGTGCAAAAAGAATTTATTCAGGAATTTTTGTTCTGCACAAACAAACAGTGAAAATTGATGCAAAAACAAAATTTTTTCACATTCAAACACTTTGAATACCCGAAAAACAACCAAGCAGCAATCACTACACTTCACAAATCACATTGATTGATTGTATATAATTGAATCATTCACTTGTTTGTTTGTTTTGTCAAACAACAACAACGATGATGATGATGATAATGATGATAAAGAGATTCTGTGTGTGTTTGCTTTTGTTGGCTTGTTAGTTCAGCAAAAAAAACTACTACCAACCAACCGATAACAACAAGATGTTATCTGTCCAAAATTATTCTGTTGTTGTTGTTGTTGTTTGGCTGAATTCTTTTCGTGATTCTCTGTATACAGAATAATCAGAACATTTCACACTAAACAACCAAAAAAGAATATCTTAATCTATTTGATTTGAATTGAAGATTTTATTTTTATTTTCTTGCAGAAGCAAACGCAAACAAAGTCAAACAAGTGTAAAATTTTATTTTTTTGGAAACCAACAACAACAAAATTCTGGAACAACAACGAAGACAAAAACTGTATAAATTAATAGTATTCTGGTATATTTTCTTGATTTTAATTCAAGGATTCTTGTTTTGTTTTTTTTACAACAAATATGATTGCCCGTAAGTGTTTTGTTTTGCTGTTTGAATTCTGTTGGGTTCTGGGCAAACACAACAGAAGATGATTATGAATCAGGGAAAGAGAAAAAAAAACAATCCGGAATTTTGGTTCAATGATACAACGAAGATGATGAAAACGTTGTTGTAATGAATTCAAAAAAATTGGTTAAGTTTTCTCGTTGTTTTAGACCACACAACACACATATGATTCTTAAAATTTTTTTTCCACTTGAATAACTATGGATGATAATTTTACACAAGTTTTACACAAAGTCCGATTCAAGTTGATTTCGGTTCGGTAGGCAAATAACGAATGTAATCTATTCGATATGTTTCATATACTATTTATTTGGCTGAATAAGTGACGAACAGAATCGTTGTTGTTTGTTGAACATGCGCAATCCAAAAACAACAACGCGAAAAAGAACGACAAGAATAATTCATTGTGTGTGTGTGTATAATTCTGAATGGTTGTTTGCAAATGCAAATACGAGAAATAAATAAATATGAAATAAAATAAATTCCTCTGTAATCCTTTATTATCATTATTATTATTGATATTGATATTTTTCGAAAACGAAGAAGAATTTTTTTTTTTGAAAATTTTAATTTTAAATCTGATTATATTCGATGGAAAATTGTTTTTTGGGGAAAAAAAATATTTTTCCTGCTTGCAAATCGTATTATTAACATTCAATAAATTTTTGTTTTGTTTTTTTGTTTCGTTTGTTTTTGTTTTTTGAATGAAAGAAGAAGTAGAAAAAAGACATTGAGAATATTCTTGATATTGCTGGGAATATTTCTTTCGGGAATATTTCTCAATTTTCTTCCACCTTAGTTACAACAACAAAAAAAAAAAAATACTTTAAAAAGTTTAATAAGAAAGGAGAAATTTGACAGGAGGAAAATAAATTTATTTTTCTTTTTCATTAATTAGCATCATAAAGTGTATCCAAGCAAGCAAGCAAACAAGAGAGAGAGAGAGAGAAATTATTTGATTGAATTTTACAATGAAAACAGAAGCCAAAGCCGATAACATTACATAATGAAAATTAATGCCATCATCATCATCATCACACATACATTCTCTATTTATTCTAACTAATTTGTTTAATTAGCAGTAAATTTTTTCCACAAAAAAGAAAAAAACCCAATCACTTTCATCATCATCATCATCATCATCATGTTTCTGGATCGGGACCAATTTTTGTCTTTTATTTATTATGAAAATGGTTTCAGCACTGGGAATCCGAGCCAAGTCAAGCCAAAACCAGAAAAAAACAACAACGATTTTTTTCTCTTGTGATTCTTTCATTTTCTCGACTGTTGTTGTTGATGATGATGACAATTGAATTCGTGCACATACCAAAGATTCTTTTCTTGTTTTTTGTTTTTTCATTTTCTATTTTTAATGTTGATAATAATAATTATCATTCGGGTTGAAACGTTGGTTTAGAATTCTTGTTTGTTGTCATTTTTTTCCATTTTCCAAAATTTCATATATCCATTTACTTGCTTACCCTGATTCCAAAAAAAAAATCTATATAATTTCCGTTTCTGTCATGAAATTTTTTCCATTTTTTTTTAATTGTTTGAATCGGAATTAAATTTTTTCACTGTTAAATTCACACCAAAACCATTTCTCCTTACCGACGGACATCCGTTTTTTCTTTCCAAAAAAAAACACTGGCTAATTTTTCTGTTTGTTTTGTTTTTTTATCATCTCAATTTAAAAAACCCTGAAATAGAAATGAATACCGAATATTCTCGTTTTCGGTAATGTGTGTGTGTGTGTGTGTGTGTGTTTTGGATGAAAAATATTCTATCCATTCCATCAACGAACGAATGGTTTCAAATTACACAAACATTTAAAAAGCGTAGGCGACAATTATCTGCGAATGCGAATCTAAATGACAATTTTTTAAATCAAAATTTTTTTCCAACTGTATTTGTGTTTACAAACATTTTTTTGTTTCTCAGTAAAAAAGGAAAAGATTCTTTCATCAAATAGGTTTTTTTTTCTCTTAAAAAACATAGAAGAATCTTTTGAATTTTTTTTTTATTTCTTACCCAAAATTCCTTGAAACATTCTATGCATTTTTAGCTAGAAAAAAAAAATTACGAAAGCAAAATACCTTGTATGTCTCAATATTTGCATTTTACTTTTGATACAATTTTGCATTCAATTTTCAATGAAAAAAAAAAATTGCGATTGTTTGCAAAACACATTCCATGTCTCAATGAACGAATACAAAACAAAACAAGAAAATGGAGAAAAAAATCTATTGGTAAAACATTTTCAACAGAAAAAAAGTTTGTTCAATAGAATCAAACAGGAAAATAACAAAACTCTCATCATCATCATCATCATTTTTGAAAATAATAATCAGATTTGCATTTCTCTCAAACAATTTTGCACAACCTTATTTGAATTCTGGCAACAACAACAACAACAACGACGACGAAAGTGTTAACAACATGTTACACACACACAATGAATGTTTAGCCAAACTAACAATTGAAGAATAGGAAGAAAAACAAACTTTACATTTTTTTTCGTTGAATGAAAAAAATACCCAAAACAAAATGAATGGAAAAATAAACTTTTTCTTTATTCTTTGCTTTTCTTTTTCCTTACAAAATTTCTTTTCTTTTTCTTTGGTCGAATAAATTAACATCGTCAATCGGTTTTTATTGTTGTTCAAAGAAAGAAAGAAAGAATCCATTTTTTTCCAACATTACACTAGGAAAACACTGCATTTTCCTGCAATATGTTTTTAATGTTTCTTTTTTTTCAAAAAAATAGTAATTTTGATGATACAATCAAAACATAACACCTCAATTCTGTGATTCTGTGTTTTTTTGAAGAAAAGAAAAAAAAAGTTTCATTTGACCTTTAAACCAAAGAAAACATTACATAACACATAAGATTTTATTCAGTAAACATGGTTATAAATCATTATCGATGATCGATTTTTCTCTTTCTTGTGTCTCTCTATAGATAGATAACCATTATTGATGATTTTAAAGTTTTTTTCTCTTCGTTTTTTTTTGTTGAATATCATCGTCATCATCATCATTTTTTTCTGGTGCTTTTTAATCCAAGAATCAAAAATGGTCTTTCGTTGTAGTTTGACTGAGTATGACAAACTTCTCTCTCTCTCTCTCTCTCTCTCTCTCTCTCTCTCTCTCTCTCCTTTTTAAAATAGTTCAATTTTTTTTTTAGCTCGCTCATCCATTT